AAGGCTGAGTCAACCTTGAGCCTGGTGAGATTCGAATTGCCAAATTGCAGGCAGCCGGCAGGCACCAGAAATCGCCTGCAGTACTGCACTCTCACCACTGCGCCACCAGCACAGGAACGGTCGTAATTGTGAAAAATGGCCACGCGTCAACAGCAGTTACAACAGCGGCTAAATGAACAACCGTTAAACGGAGAGCTGGCTGTACTCAACCACCACAAACTCACAATGTGGTCGCCAGCGAGAAGAAATCCGTGTGTCCCTACCGTTCTCGTGAGGACACCGCGGTATCCTATTAGCTTGGCGTTTCCACGCCTGTTCCGCGCTCCAGGTCAAGCAGACCTTGTGTTCCTTGTACGGACGCTCGAAAGGTGGAACGGGATCCAAAAAACTGTAGTCCCGTACAACGGCACGCCAGTAGCTTCCTGCTTGAGGAGCGCGGTGGATCGCGGCCTCCTTGTGGGTAATCCAGGCGTAGAGGATTACGTAGTCTACATTCAGCGATCGCTTGATAATATAATCGTCTCTAAAGACCATACTATTTGGGAACGTCAAGGAAAGGGTTCGATTCGTCCGGACGCGGCGGTGGCCTTTCCATTGTTTCTTGTACACCGATACAGCGTTCCTGGAGTCGAAGGAGGCTTTCGCTTCTAAAGTTATGACGCAAGGCTTGGAGCAGAAATAGGCCACCGAAATGCCGACGCCGTTCCGCAAACTTCTGTTCCCAACTTTCAGGTGAATAAAATCCTCCGAGAATGTCTCGCGCGGAGTTATCGGCGTGGTCAGCCGTGTTTCCCTCCCCGACGTTATCCCGCTTTTCTAACGAAACAAAAGAAAAAAAAATAAGAATTATTGCGCTTCGCCATAAGGCTCCAGAGGTGTTAAGGCAGGCGTTGTTTTTAATGATCTCTATAAAAGCCACCTGTTCTTCAAGCTTTTGGCCCAGTTCCATATTTATTCATTACGTTTATATGCTTCCGGGCTAAGCTTTTAAATATTTGCTAGTATTTGGTTGGTGTGACAGTTGTGTCTAGTGGTTAAGGCACCAAGCTAGAGATGGAAAGACTGGGAGTTCTAGTCCCACCTTAGACATGAAAGCCAGCTGGGTGGCTTTGGGCCAATCACCAGGAGGCCGTGAGTTCTAGTCCCGCCTTAGAGATGAAAGCCAATTGGGTGACTTTGGGCCAATCACGAGGAGGCAGTGAGTTCTAGTCCCACCAGCCATGAAAGCCAGCTGGGTGATTTTCAGCCAATCACCCGGAGACTGTAAGTTCTAGCCCCANAGAGAGAAGGAGAGCGAAAGAGGGAGAGCAGAGAGGGGAGGACAGAGAGGAAGAGAGAAAGAGAGAGAGGAGAGATAGAGATGGAGAGAGAGGGAGAGAGAAAGAGAGAGGGGAGAGAGGGAGAGAGAAAGAGGAAGAAAGAGAGGGAGAGAGAAAGAGAGAGGAGGAGAGCGAAAGAGGGAGAGGAGAGAGGGGAGGACAGAGGGAGAGAGAAAGAGAGAGAGGGAGAGAGAGGAGAGAGAGGAGGAGAGGGAGAGAGAAAGAGAGGGAGGGAAAGAAAGAGAGGAGGAGAGGAGAGAGGGAGAGAGAGGAGGAGAGAGAGGGAGTGGGGGAGAGTAGGGGATACCTCTTGTCCATTGATGGAGAGATCAAGTCGAAACCACCGCCGTAGAGGAAGGGGCAACGTGGTCTTCACTGCAAGATCGCCTCCTTTGACAAAGTGCATTTGGACGTGAAGATAACCTGGAATGTGATCCCCAACCCATGAAGATACTTAGGATCAAAGTAGATTTCTCACAGATGAACAGTTGGTCCCTTCGTACGTACAATTGTTTTCCAGTTGGTGACTCTTTGGTGTCTGGCAAAATCCGCCAACTGCCAATTACAGTACTCAAATACAGTTATCCAAAGTTTTAAAAATAACATATCTATCATAGAAATATATATATATATATATATAAAACCTTTTAAATAGGTTGGGAAAGGACTGGCAGAGCCTGGGGGCCGAGTCAAGAGAGGAATTAGCCTGGAATTGTTACGTTCCCAGAAGCGGTAAAATTCTTGATTTCTGTTCAATCGTATTTAGTCCCAATTTAGTGCTGTGTCAACTCCTAACACTGTCATAGTGAGAGAAGAGCGGGGAGCGCATTCCACGCATACTGTTGGCTGAAGTCGGGGACTGGCCCATGTTCCTCCCCAACCTCCTCACTCTCCGACTCTGCTGCCAGCTCCTCTCCCGGAGGACCATAACAATATTCTCAACGATCCATCTCATCCTGGTCACCCTTTTTTTTGAACTATTACCATCTGGCAGACGGTACAGGACAATAAAAACAAGAACAAATAGGCTGAAAAACAGCTTCTATCCCAGGGCAGTAACTAGATTGAATTCTGCGGCATAGTGCAATATTAATGCAATATCAGGGGTTTTCAATTCAATTGTAGAGAATGTGAAGGATATGCATTTTTATATGTACAATGTACACTGAAGATAGCATTTAATTTCATTGCACGAGATGCAATGACAATAAAGTAAACTAAACGAAACAGTTATAGTCAGTGGTGAAATTCAATTTTTTTTTACTACCGGTTCTGTGGGCATGGCTTAGTGGGCGTGGCAGGGGAAGGATGCTGCAAAATCTCCATTTCCACCCCACTCTGGGGCCAGCATTTGCCAGTTCTCCAAACTACTCAAAATTTCCATTACCGGCTCTCCCAACTACTCAAAATTTCTGCTATCGGTTCTCCAAACTACTCAAAATTTCCACTACCGGTTCTCCAAACTACTCAAAATTTCC